CTCTCTGGGTTTCTGCGCTGGGCTAATGCTAATAATGCTAATGCTAGGATAATAAAATGACGGCTTCACAAAACTTTTTTTGAGTTTTACGGGGCGTGGTTTGCAATCCGCCCAGCCAATCAGAAATAGGAACCTTTTTCTCCCACGAAAGTCCCTGCTCTCTAGGGGACGGAAAAGGGGGTAAAAAGGTTCTCATTAACTCATTTTTGTTCCGGCTCTTTTTGGTGTGAACGCGACATTTCGGAACTATATCGGAACTAAAGTGGGAAAAGTACTGCGGTGTGAACGCGGCTAATGGGGGTAAAAGTTCTCGGAACTAAGTACTCTTTTTGGTGTGAACGCAAAATTCCAGGCACTATCGGAACTAAACGGGGAAAAGTACTCCGGTGTGAATGCGCCTATTGTGTGTCCTATAATGACTCATGAACATGTGAATACTGTTGTCACACACACAGAGATTAAACTAGGCTTAGCGCATACAAAGGTGACAAGAGGTAAAACTAATGTGGGAAATACCATGAATCAACTTGACAATAGTTAATTATTGTAAGACATATAAAGTTGCTGTGACTACATTCAATAGCTGCAGGGCTGTGAAAACATGTTTGAACAATCATAAATACCTCATTGGGATATTTAGTTTTAGTATAATTATTTAGAAATGAATAACAAAATGGGTTACACACTCTAGCAATACTCTGCAGGCCGGTGTAATCATGGTTCTCCTTCAACTGTCTGGGAGCTATGATCCATTCTCTTTTGTGTCTGCGTAATTCCTGCCCCTTTCCTTCGGCTGACACAGGAACAAGCTGCAGGTAAACAAAAAGGGAGGGAAAACGTGATTAATGTGTACAAAATACATTTTTAAAAAGTCTGCATATTATTGTTGCTCTTGGCCTTTACACATATGGCATTAATTTACAAATAATGTATAATCTTGAGAGGTTAGGCTCATTAGGGTTCTTAAAGAAAACACCAAGATGTATCCTAACAGCTAATTGATTATTTCATTGTAAACAGAAATATGGTCTGTCAATCATCATGGTAACTATATACTGTGTCATCGTCTCTTAGGAAAACTGTGCATAACTTTACACAACATAATAGGGACTTGGTAATATCCTTTTAAAATAAATCAACATCTTGTTTGCCTCAAGGGCTCTTGTACGTAAAAAAAAATCATCAAGGGTAATCGATGTGCGACAACGTCTTGATCAATAGCCTACCGTATTTGCCAGACCAAGTTATGGTTAGTTATTGTAGGAAATCAACAATAACGGTTCCGTGAACTCCCAGCATTGTTCACCAGTGTCCATGGAGAAAGCGCATTTTAACAGCAAAGCCGTTGTTTTTACTTTAACTACCTGAACAAATGTATCTAAACGCTAAAATCCCACCAGAGAACAGCCACACCTGTTTTAAACTCGGTACACACCCGATAATGGATATGTGAACAATGTAAAGCGCCTATTACATTGTTTACTTACAGTCAGGAAGAACACCAGCAGAATACAAATGCTGCATTTCAGCAGTGTAGCCATCGCCTTCAGAAATATAAACTCCGTTAATCCTCTCCTCGAAGTTAAATCTTGTCAATTTGACTCTCCGTGGTCGGGCGTTGGTTTCGTTCAGACTTTGACCCTCCGGAGGGGAGGAAGAACTTTTACAGCGAGAGGCGGTTCCTCACCGTTTGATTGCTCACAGTTGCTGATAACAGGCGGAGAAAGGAGGAGGTTATATCCACGGTGAGCTGTAATATGCATGTGCAGTCTATTGTCTTCAGAACAAAAGAGTGGACTGAGAGGAAATCCTACCAGAATCGGAACAATATGTGTCCAAAACTGCTTTTTATTATGAATCTGAAGTGGTTATTTTTTAGATGATGCTTGTTTTTTTTAAGAAAAAAATCATATACAATAAATGTCCACCTTGACTTTGCAGTGTGGGATTATCATGTGATTAAATCTACTTTTTCATATTTCAGATTTTGATGGGGATTTAGTTTATTTAAAAAGTATTGGATTCCTCAGAGACCAACTTTCCTACTCATCTGTTAAACATCACCTGTGCCTGTGAAATTCCCAGAGTGCAGCTCTCATAAACGGTGAGCTGCACACTGGACTGTGTAAATGTGTGTGGATCTAGGGTTGGTGAGTTGTTTGTTTAACAGGGAAACACAGAGGGGAAAAAAGTTGTTGTTGCCAGGATACATGAAACATTGAATCCTCATGGTCAACGGTGTGTGGGAGAGGAGAAACAGTATCGGTAGGCTATTATCTTGCCTGATTAGGCCAATCGTTTCTACAACTAAATTCTGATGAATTTGTCTGATGGTAGTGAGAGTGATTGCTTTTGGAGCAATAACCTTTTTTATTCATTGGCTTCATCTTTATCAGCTTCTAACAGAAACATAGGCACAAAGGTGAATGGGTGGTTTTGACAGTTAAATATGATATCAGTCAAATACATAAAAAAATGTTGCACCTCAGAAAAAAATGTTTGCACATTCTTGCACTGTGTGAGATTGTAGATATCAATTTCCTTAATCATAATTTAAAGGTATTGCGTTTCATGCCTGTCCAGATTGAGTGAGCAAACCACATTTATTACATTCTGCCAAAATTGCCCCCAACAAAACCCATTTCTTACATTTTGCCAAAATTGCCCACCAAAAAAACACATTCCTGTTTGTGAATATGGCTATTTTGATGGTATATTTGCTGTCAGTAAGGCTATAATCTACGCATTAGTTGCACTAATGCAATGTAATATGTCAAAAGTAAACAGCGTAACAATTTTCAGAAGACACATGCACATTATCTTGCGAGCTGAATTATAATATAATGTATGTCATATTTTCATATTTGGAAAGATAACACTAAACTGCAGTTTTTCCCCCTGTAAGTGCACCTGCCTACAACTAATGGCAGCTTTATATTACATCATACCTTCAAAAAGTTAGTTTTTTGTTGAGAGAGGAGTTGATTCAACCATAATTTATAAGGGTATACAACATATTAAAACATCTCTTAGCATATCTCATTACAATTCAATAGTAAACATTACCATGAAGTTGAGTGAAACATTTCCAAAACTGTTTGAGCATGAGAGAACATTTTGTAATGGGATCACAAGCTGTGATGCCAAATAGGGTCAGGGACTTTAAGTGGAGAGGGGGCCAAGCGGTGGCCTGTGGGGGGGTAGATGGCATTTTGACAACACACCTGTAAAGTTTGGTGACTTCATCTCTAATAGTTGGGACGCTATTACGTTTACAAATTACCAACACAGACTCATGAGGTGAAAACAATAGCTGTAGATGTTTCAGATGGGTGTGCCGGGCTCTAATAATCTGCTAACGTAAGTGGTTTCTGGCAAGCACAATTATTTTATGGTTGATTAAAAAGTTTCATGCATTTCAATGTGAAAATGACACACTAATAATCAGACAGTTGTTAGTCACATATACTCTAGAATCACCAGTGACCAACTTGTCTCACCCAAATACTAACCATCATATTTGACATGAACAATCCCACCCTGCCTCTCACTGGCACCCATCCAACAGGAGTGGTGAAAAGGGTGGAGCAGTTGCATTGTAACAACTGTTTTGATCGCAGCACAAATATGTCACTATAATACATTTAAAAAAACTGGATCTGTCTTAGCCTTTAATTACATCAATGTGCCTGAACACATTATGCAGCGTACATGAGTACACGATGATTCCTGGCAGCACCCACAATTTGTTTTCGTCATGTAGGCGGTTTTTGCCAAACTAGGTTTCACAACATCTTATTGATACAGGTGTCATACCTGGGAAGCTAATCAAAGTACAAAACAGATGTGTTGAAAATACATAACAACCCCTGCCATCTTTTAAAGTTCAAAATGGAGACTGCTGAAAATCATCTTTAGCTTTTATTGATCTGTACTAATTAGCCGAAAGTCCATTATTCAGTATTGCTTTGGTTATGTAAAGAACCTAATACACCTGGTTTTACCACAGTATATCACAATGAGTGGAGAGTGTCGGAGTGAGAGGTCAGACATCCTGTCACCAATAGAATAAGCAGAGACAAAATCAGTAGATTTGTCCAAACATACCTAAGATGTGTACTCGATACACACACAGAAGCCTGAGTGCAACTATAACTCACTTTCATTTTAGCGTGGGAGTGAAACAAGAGGTTATTTTGCTGAGTCTGTTTTGCATATTAAGACACAGCACCAGGCCCTTTCATTATGTCTACGCCCATGAGTCACAACAGAGCAGTCTTCCTGAATTTTTTTCACCTTTCCTGTTGCAACTCCTACGTAACCTGCCTTCCCTATGCACTTTTAAACAAGTCTCCCTACCCCATTACAGATATTGCGGACTATGACCACTCTCAATTTTATCAGCAGTTTATACAGATAGTGAACGCTTCACTGTGGGAAGAGAGCCTCCCCCACACCAGGCTTCATTCAGCTCACATTCCTGTGGCGTTAAGTGAGGAGTGCAATTCAGTTCCTCCTACCAGAATGCTCCAGTGGAGAGGAGGGGCACACAGAGGTCACTCTCCGAGGAGACCTGTGACAGCTTTGTCAGACCAGAAAAACAAGCAAACAAAAAGTCATTTTCCCAAGAATGGCTAAAAAAAGAAGTGTTTTAGAGAATGTTTGAATGTTTTACACTTTGACATTCACTTTAAAGCGAACACCACTAAAACCACCTGCTCAGCATCAATATTAATCATAAGAAATGTACCTGCAAAACATTACAGTGATTTTATATGCACTTATGCCACATATGGTACACTAATATAATTCCATTTGACATTATAGTGTTTAGATTTGTTTGCATGTCTTGCAACGTTGTATAATTTATTACAGAATGACATTAGTTGGCAGACTATTTGAGCAATGTTTCCCCCTGCTGGCAGAAAAAAACCATGTTTAAGGGCAAACTTTTTTTACAAGTTGACGTGTGCTCCGATAGCGACAAGGTGCATTCGCCTCGCCTGCGGATCTCACCAGGGAGGATCTTAGTCTGGGTGTGGCAGCCAAGGTGTGTCTGTGTGTTGACTCACTTTCAGATACCAGGACTTAGACTAAAGTCTTCAGGTCCCATTCAGACAACAAGTGCAAGATCAGACGAGTTTTCTTCTTCTTTTAACGCTGTGAGAAATATATCCTCTGTCAGTCTTTAGACGGTCAACTGCCGGACGAGTTCCGCTTTACGGCAAAGTGCATTGAACGTCTAAAAAATGGCGAATGTTTTAATTTTCAACCTCTGCTTGGCGTTGGTAAGTGATCCAGTTTATTTTTAATTCCTCTCCGAACTATTTTATCGATACACATGTGACGTATGACTATCGTGTTAAGCGACTATATTTACGAAAATGTTGTTATAATTGAATTACTTGCTATCAAAAGGGATTGTCACCGGTATTTGGTTCGATATTTAGAAATTCACTTTAGGACCGACTTTCTACTGTACTTCAGGTGCTGTCCGGTGTGGAGTCATGTTTTATTCCGGACTCTCTGTACATAATTGTGCCACGAACCATTCAGACCGGGCGAAAAATAACTACAGGTACTTTTTGCTTCTCCACAAATTCTTTATAGAACACTTTATATCCATTTCAGCTCGAATAATATCCTCCAGTATTGCCTGTCTGTTTAGTAGCCGACCTTCACATTTACCCATTCACTCTCTCGCTTTTTTTAGTTGAAGTTGCCGACTGCGACACCAACTCTATGATCTTTACTTTGAGCGACCCCAATTTCCAAATAAGACAGAATGGCGCAATAGAAGCTCTAAGGCCTGTTTCAGTGTCGGGAACAGGGCGGACATTTTCTGTGTGGGTCCGGGACAACAATGGACCGGAAAGTGAGATGGTTGTCCACCTTGTGCACAGTGCAATACAGGAAAAAAAGGTAAGCTGTTGCAAGACTTTCCAAGTTTGTGTATCCTTTTATACAACATGTGTGCATTAACGTGTTGTACCTGTTTGTGTTACAGCACAGTCCCTCAAACTATCTGAAGCGAGTCAAGAGACGTTGGAGTCCACCACCCTTCAACATATTAGAGAATGATGAGGGACCTTATCCAAGAGACATTGAAGAGGTAATCTTGAACATATAACATACTTTGCATTGTAGTGTTTATAAGCTTAAACACTATCTCTCAAGTCTTTATGGCCGCATTTATAATACATGTCCAAATATTCACTTTGTTTTCCTCTACCTGCACTTGCCCCCCTTTTCTCACTCCCCTCCCCCCAACCTAGAACAGTCTATTATCACATTACTTCCAGCTGTCTTTATGCAGTGATTTATTCCTCTAGGCATAACGAAATTGTCTATTGAAAAATATTTAATTGTGTTATCATTTTGGGTTTCTGTTTTAGATTGTGTCGGACTCTGAAGCCAGGCAAACAGTGTACTACACCATCAGTGGACCGGGTGTCAATCAGCATCCAGTGGGAGTGTTTTCTCTTGACAGGGATTCTGGGATGTTGGTTGTACACAAACCAGTTGATCGTGAGAAATTCCCAAAGTTTACAGTAAGTGTAACATTGGGCTGCAACATATGATACATGGTGGATTCATTTGGAGATCATCTTAAAAAACAATTGATCCCAAAGTCAAACATTTAGATTCAACCCTTCATTTAAACAATTCAAATTTCACATGGCATTAGATCACACTTTAAAAGGCTAATCTGACATTGAAAATAAATGAAATCCTATGACATACTTTGCACTTCTAACTTGCACTTCACTTTTTTTTTGTTACAGTTAATGATCAGAGTTTTCAACAGAATTACTAACGTGGAGACAGACCTGCCTTTGGACCTTCAAGTAATTGTAGATGATGTGAATGACAACGCTCCAACATTCATAGACCCACTACAATTCACAGTGCTTGAGCACAGCCCCCCAGGTGAGGAACATGAACAACACAGCAGTTAATTCTGGTCTTCAGTGTGGGAGATAATAAACTGGATGATTCTGTTCTACACTACAGGGACAATTGTGGGGAAGGTGAATGCTGAAGACATAGACGAAGTGGGAAGTCTCCACGTCAAGATCAAGTACACTCTTGAGAATGGATTCAACCGGTTTGCCATTCACCCAGTCACTGGTGTCATCACCACAACCACCAACACCCTGGATAGAGAGGTGAACACAAGCACCATTGTATTTTATATTTAGTTTGAACTACTACAAATGCTTCATCTTGGTCGTTTCTTTCCTCAACATAACATGTTATTTACCTTTTTTCTCATGTAATTTTCTCACCTGTTTATTAGGCAAAAGACAAGTATTTGGTGAAAGTAATAATCAAAGACATGGACGGTGCAAATACAGGTCTGTCCAACACAGGAACAGCAACCATTACTGTCACTGATATCAACGACAACCCGCCAACTTTCACAGAAACTTCTGTAAGTGATAAGCCAATACATAATACAAATAAATTAGAATATTTCACATCTTAAAACAAACTCGTAATGTTTTGACAGTGACGGTACAATCAAACATCACAGGTGTGTTTTATATAAAGTCAGTGTTTGGAACCTTACTAAAACATTGGTTGTCTAATTTAAGTAACACACTTTTTGTTTCCTTTCAGTATACAGTCGATGTCCCAGAAAACGTAAAGGAAAGACTTATCCTCAGAATTCCCATTGAAGATAAAGATTTAATAAACACACCAAACTGGAGGTCAAAATTTGTCATAAACCAAGGAAATGAAAAAGGAAATTTCAGGATTGACACTGACCCCGAAACAAACGAAGGGCTTCTGTATGTCTCAGAGGTGAGTGAGATCTCCTATAAGATGTAGTTGTGATAGTAATAATACATAATAGACTTCCTGCACATGGAAAGCCTGTAACCTGTGAAGAGACAACTGATTTTTGTTTACAATACTTCCCTTCCTGTTTTTCCAGCCCTTAGATTACGAGCAGAACCAAAATGTGAAGCTTGAGATTATGGCACGTAATGAAGCTGACCTGACTGGCACCACATCCAGATGGGTGTCCATCCCTGTGGATGTCAACGTCGTCAATGAAGATGAGGGTCCGGCCTTCACGGCTCCTACTGTCCGCTACCCTGTCAAAGAGAACACAGCCAACGGCACACTGATAGGAAGTTACATTGCTCTCGATCCTGAGACCGAGAGCAGCAACGGCATCAAGTAAGCAATCTTACTTCATATTTTTCTGGGAGAAATGAACTTTACTGCAGTGAAGGATGACTCATAGTAGACACAATTCCAGCCAATGATTAAGACCCCAACTTTATGTGTGTGTTTCTTAATTTAAACACTGGAGGGCAGACTTTCACTGCTGAACGGAAGAATGTGCTCCTAATAAACAATGACTTTCCCCCCCCTCCCCCCCCCTCTTTCAGGTATTACAAGACCTCAGACCCAGCTTCATGGATCAACGTTGACAGAGATACCGGAGAGCTGAGGGTGGCGAACACAATTGACAGAGAGTCACACTTTGTCCATGATGGAATTTACAACATCACCGTCAAGGCTGTTGATGCTAGTAAGTTTGCTTGTGAATGCCGCACATTTCCTTGTCATTGATTTCTAGAGTATGAGTCATGGACTTTTTACAGAGGCCAAACTGTTTTTATAACACTACAAAAATGACTTCCTTACTCGTATCGTACCAGTTTAATTTCAAATCATGTCAGACTTCATGTTTTTTGCTTGTATTGTTACACCAGCCGAAAGTTATTAGGGACACCAGCTCCACCCTGAGTAACTGTCCAAACAAACAGCACATCCTGAGAACACCTGTAGCTAGGTGTCATCGACAATGACTCACAGTTCTCTGATGTGATGGTGAAAATTGGGCACATATCCCAGATGCTTGTCAGAATAGTTTTTTTCCCACCAAAACAAACCTGAATAGAAACTCACACTAAGCCAAAATGCAGCCAACTTGGTCCATCTAGTTTTCTTTGTTCATGCATCAACATGCCCTATTTAATCTTTTGAATAAATATTAATGTAATACTTTTCTCAGACTTAAAGACAGGAACAGGAACAGTCATTATTGTGGTGGAGGATGTCAACGACCACATGCCGATGCTTCCCAAAAGCGAGATGGTGGTCTGTGAGCAGGTCGGGCAGCTGGGCTCTGTGATGGTTGTGGCTGAAGACCACGACCAGTCCCCCTTATCCTCCCCCTTCAGCTTCAGTCTGCCAAAGGATAGCGACGGCAAATGGTCTTTGACTAAATATAATGGTAAGTGGTTTTACTTTGATTTCATTGTATTTTCATGTATTAAAAAAAAAACCTTCTCTAAAACACATTTCGTTTTTGTGAGAGGTGTCAGAATAATCCATTACACAGAATCCAACAGAGTACTAGTGAAGGAGTGAGAGTCAGGCATAATGTTGATTATTGACAGCTTCACTGATTTCTGAGGCTGATCCCAATATAAGGTGGAAGAGGACTTTTTTTTAGAGCAGTAAAACTAGCAATACTATAACATATAAGCCGCTGCAAGTCCTGCATTAAAACATGTACTTATAGTTATAAAAGTCTAAGTTGCTATATATCATTTTATAGCTGACATTTTATAGTTGAACAATTTATCTTGCGAACTGACGCTCTTTTTAAATCGTTCAAAGATATCTTCTGTAATGCAATTTATAATAAGCCGACATATGCGGTCACACAATATGTGTATGATAAACTGATATTTAATAATATTAAACGTTTGAGCAGTTGTGCTATAGTATGTGTTTGCATCTATAAATTGATCTTTACGTGAAGTGTTAAACATATTCTTTACCCTATGTAAACTTCACTTGATGTTCAAAATGATCCGCAGTATTCTACTATTTCTACGATAAATGTGTAGAATCTCCATCTTATTTTCCACATTTTGGTCCCCAGACACGGCAGCTACGTTGAAGCATGTGAAAGACCTTCCTAGAGGGATATATGAAGTCCCACTGGACGTTACAGATCTGCAGGGCTCTGGTAAAACTCAGGTGGCTCAGGTGAGGATTTGCGAGTGCAGGAATGGAGTCTGCTTGGACAAGGACCACTCGACGTCTTTAGGCCCCATGGGAATACTGGCTCTGCTGCTGCCTCTGTTGCTCCTCCTGCTGCTCGGTGAGTCGCCCCCCCCACCCCGCGCTCTACTCCTGCCAGCACAATTGTGAAGCTACACTGTGTAGATAATGAAACAGGAAATTGTGCTCATGCATTTGTAAAAGTGTCAAAAAGAGTACTAGAAAGTTCAAGGTGCTTTTACTGAATTATGCATGGTATATTGGACACAGTGCGATGATGTGAGGTAGTTTAATACAAGGTAATGTGACGGTGTGCTCGCTCCTGTGATGCCTTCCACACAGGAAGTCCTGTTTGTTATAACAAGCATTCCTTTGTGCATTCATTTCTAACATGTTTCCTTTGTTATTGCAGGCTTGCTGCTCGCCTTTTTCTGCACGACAAAGAGAGAGAGTATAGAACTGGAAGATGAAGGAGACAGTGGAGGAATCCTGCTCAAATCAAACACGGAGGCCCCAGGGGAAGAAGTGGTAAGAACGTCATTATGAAAACATTGCCTGGGCTCAAAACCCTTGTTAAAAAAAGTTTTAAACTTTATTCATGTAGTTAAATTCCAATGACTCATTCAAATGTTTTCTTTTACAGGATACAAGTCTCATCACTGTCCCAATCAACGGGGGGGAAGTTACAAAGGGCTCATATCAGGGGAACTTTGGGACTCCAGGAGGAACGTGGACAGGGAACGGAGGAACATGGAACGGGAACGGAGTCTTGCAAGAGGAGGCGATATATACGAAAAATGGCCAAGGCGATATGCAAGATTTCTATACCACCCAGTATGAGCAGTACGGTCAACAGCAAGGTCTTGGTAGTGGTCAGGGTAGTGGAATGGCCTTTGACAGCAGATACCTCACCCAGGACTCCACCGTTCTCCACAACTGGCAAACAAATGGCCGCTATCTAGACCAGGTAATAAAGTTTCATCGTTTTTTTTTTAAAGTGAAAATGTTCATTATATATTTATTATATGAAAAAGAGGTGTCAGGAAGTGGGAGCAGAATTAAATATGTCCAGATGTGACCACCTTTTCTTCTTCCCTCAGGTTTAATAACTTCTGTGTTATCTGTAAGAGCTTAGGAAACTCCCCTGTGTTATATAATCTTGTTCTCTAAGCCAGGATAGTATCCTCAATAAACTTTAATATTTTTCAACATCCTGGCAAGAGATATTATTTCTCTTTGTAATATCTGACTGCCAGTCATATCCTGAGCAGACTTGTGTGATCACATGGTGTAATATCTCCCCCTTCTATCGCTCACACTGACACATAACACGCTTCCTCTTCCTCCTCCTTTGTCTTGTAGAAACTGATCCACTTTGGAACAGAGGGGGACGGGCGGTACGCAGAAGACGTCATCCACTCCTATGGGTTTGAGGGGGTGGGCTCTGCAGCTGGCTCTGTGGGATGCTGCAGTGACTTTGGCGACAACGATAACCTCGACTTCGTCAACACGCTCGGACCAAAGTTCAAAACTCTGTCAGAGGTCTGCAGAAAGACATGAACAATGGAGCGCAAAAAGTAATGGTGTTAATGCCTCACTGTACAGGATGTAGAGAGGCCTGAGCGCTTGGTATGCTCCTGAACATGAATGAGAAAAAGAACAATCTTGCAGTGTCACTGTTTGCTATGCTATCACTTTTTGTTGTTAGTTTGGCTTTTTGGGAGAAAAAAAGGTTGCACTGAAAACTATGCAAATGTAGTGAGTTGTACATATTTTGTGTTTTTTATGTGCTGTCCATATATCCATAAGCTTAACCTGTGCTTCTCCTTGTGAAAGGTCGGGGGGGGGAGGGGATTGTTTTTGCAGGGTCATAATTGTATTAATGTAAGTAGCGCAGGGCTGACGGGTTTTTCTATCTGCTGAATGAGTCCTAACTTTGGTTATTTTGGATTTGTAAATAATCTCTGTTCACTGTCTATGACATTTGAGTGGCTGACTTTAAATTGCTTGCAAAATGATGTAGTTTTGATATGTTTTTTTAAAGAAAAAGAAAACTAATAAATAACTAAATGAAATAAGACTATACTTTAACTCCCATCTTTATTACTTCACACGCATACTTCCTTTCAAATGACATTTCCTTTGAGTTATTAATCAGTTTGATTTGTCATTAACTGCTTTTTCCAAATCATACAGTAATGTTCTGACTAAACATATTCCTGTGTTCTGGCTCTTTACCTTTCATTGGGCGTAGTTCAGCCCTGTGTGTCATTGAAGATGGTCCAACATACTGACGGTAATCCTGTGAAAGTCAGCACAAGGGCGTGAATGTGAGGAGTGACATGTTAGTGTCACTGTATGCAACTGTGTAAAATACAAGAATGACTCGACACAAGTAAAGCTATACAGATCAGGAAAACCTCCTTGAACCTGCTAATATAAAGGAATCTTGACATATGTGTATATTAAGTTGTAATTGTGCATGACCATTACATCATGTTTCTCTTGGTGCTACAGTAGCAAAGATTATATCAATTTATTTGAATAGAATTTTAAGATTTCAATTGTTTTTTAAAGTTATCTGTAACTCAACAATATGCCCTAAAGACTGCATACCAATGTTACAGTGTGTTTTATATTAGAATTAACTTAGAGCATTAAATAAAAGAGGATTTCTCGTACAGTTTGGCCGCTGTACTTTGGCAGAAGGTCTGACAGGCTGTAAAAGCAGGAACAGAGGTTCTTTGTGCCCGGTCTCTGTGTGCTCTGCTGAATGATTTACTGGGTGTGGCACTCTAAGCCCGCACAATGGAAAGTGCAGTTTGTTTGCCAAGCTTATTTCCCCGCCTGGCTAATATTTACAGGCAGTTTTGTGCTGATCAAGTCAATACACGTACATGTAATTATCGTGCTTTTCCCTGTAATAAAGCAATTTCCTCCATGCCTAGTGACTGTACCTGTTGCCCCACAGTTTGCACCATGCTTTTTACTTCTGTCGTGTTTTTACAGTTGAATTCTGTCATCTTTAAAACCTATTTTCCATTAACAAGAAAGGAACGGCATGGTCCAATTAATGTCCCTTTTAATGTATTCATATTTAAAATAGTGATATAATTCTGGAGATAACAAGCTTAGCTACAGTATGCACAGACCTCTATGAATAAATAATAACATATTACAAATGTATCCAAATTGAAATCCCCCATGAGTTCGCAATGCTATTAAGCTTCGGCTTACTATGGATTATTAATTTATAGATAATGTAACAATTCACCAACTATTGTTTAGATGTCATGCAGATCATGCATCAGTGTGATGAATCACACATGTGAAGCTGGAAATATAATTAGAGGGTCCAGAAAGGACCATCTGTCATGTGATTGTGTTGATGAGTATTAAGGATGACAGCAGAGAGCAGGGGGGGTGGGAGGGAAAGGGAAATTAAATCATGGACTGAAACTCGTCTCACTAGTCACTACCATCAAACACTGGAATCTTGTTAAAAAAAAGACCACAATATTATCTGCGTTCATTACAAGAATACTGTCACAATTACAGGAGGATGTGAACGAGATGGGAACATCAAGGGTTTTTGCTCAAAATCCCACCGGGGCCAATTAGTAGAATCTTGAAAAGTCACTTAACTCAAAATAATGAAAATAAGCAGTTAACCCAAATATCTAAAGAAGGCACTCCAAGCACAGACGGGAGCTCTATTAGCCCTATTTTACTAGTAAACAGTCTTTTCTTCTTTTTTAATTAATGCCCTCTGCAGAAATAAAAACGCTTTTGTGCAAAACTGCTATTCCAGAAGTCTGCAGGGATTTGAATTTCCTGGGAATATTTGGAAATACATTCTTGAACTCCCTACCACCATTTTACACAGAGCCAGATATTTACCATGTATGACGGATCCTGCTCTCTGCTGTGTTGTTACTAACAATCTGGTGACAGTACTGACACAGCGTTTGGACTTGAGAGTTAAACAGCATACATCATTTGACACACAGTTTATTTACAGAGAAGTGTCATGAGGCTGTGAAATGTATCATGGAAGCTCAAACCGAGCACCGAGGAGGAAGGAGTTTGACATGCTGGTAGCAGATCTCACGTAATAAGATGCTTCTTTTGGCCTCACCCTTTAACCCACTTACTTGCATTTCACACAAATTGTACTTAGCAAAATTTAAGCATTTTCGTAGAGGCTTACCGCACAACACAACATGCTCGGCTGTTATAACATATGGTGTGTGTGTGTGTGTGTGTGTGTGTGTGTGTGTGTGTGTGTGTGTGTGTGTGTGTGTGTGTGTGTGTGCCATGGGAGCCTCATGACAAAAATACCTTTGCGGCAATTAAAAAAACAACACATTTGGATCATTTCTTTGAGGATTATCAAGTGCGTTCCTATTTGAAGCAATGGCACTGATAAGCAACATAATTCAATAGACCACTTTGTGTGTGTCCACTCTTATCAGAGCTGCTTGAGCCATCACTTCCAGTCACTTCTGTAAAGATGCAATTAATTCTAAAGCAGTAGCGTGAAATTAATTTATTGCTAGTAATTAGTTTTCGGCATACTGTGAAAACAATCTCTCTAGATAGGGTGTTTTCGCCTCCCACCAGAGAATCTGAGGACACTTGGCTCCATCTGAGCTCAATATGGAGTGGAGCCTTCAGCTGCCAAGAGCGCAGACACTTCTTAACCCCCTGTTGACTCAGGCCTCAGGATTTATAGTTTTAAATGACATCTGCAAGATATTTAACTTGCTGTGAATGCACACGACAGTAATTTCTACATCGTGTGCCTGGGAAAAAAAAACACAAACCAGGCCATGATTATAAGGAATTTAGGTTGGTTTGTTGCAAAATATGTGTGTGTACATACATAAATCAAATCATTTTTGATACATACATGAAAGCGACGACAATTACATTATTTATGTGTCACTAATCAAACATGATTCATTTGCATTTTGCTCTTAAAAGGCTGTTATGAATACAAGATGTCATTGTTGTCACTGCCACTAGGTGTCAGAGTTACCTCTTGTCTGAGTTTGGAGATGGCTCAGGGGGGAATATTTAAAAAAAAAAGCTGGCTGATTTCAGTCAAGACACTTCATCTGTCAGTCACATGTGTAACCAAACACCTGAAATCACTTCAATTAAGCTGAGAAGACAGCACTCTTAAAGTGAAGTGATGAGACAATTTGTGGCAGGAGCCTCACTGTTTTGCGACGTGGCATCTGCCCGACTTTACAGTTATCGCATGTTTGAAGTCACCTTTGCTGAAATGTGGTGTCACTTATCTAACAACACTAGGCTTCTCATTGCACCTTCATGCTCATTATGACTGAAGTGAGAATGGAGCTGACCAGCACCTCCATAGCGATTGCAAAGATAACAATTTCACTCTGAAGCCTGTTAACATTATCTTGATATGGGATTTCTGGTAATTCTGGTATAAATAGTTTGTAGATATGGAATGTAATTAAGAGGAAAAAGGTGACAGATTTTTCCTATTTCTATTTTAATATCATCAAAACAGCTACAATAACAGACGATTTGGCTTTACAATAACTATGCAAGAGCTTAAGCGACTTGTTACACCGTTTGTTCAAGGTATTGTGTTTCTTCCGTCCATATCTCTCACTCTCAATCGAAATGTGGCGGCTTACATATTAATTAGATAAATCTGTTTGGCAGCGGAAAGCCTCAGTGAGACATCTGGGTCTTAATTAGTCAAAAGGATTCAAGTGATAAACAGAATAGGTTTTAAAATGCTAAATTATCTCATTCAATTACATTCACCACTATGAACAGGATATTTATCAACATGCAGTCTGAATATAAATTCTAAATTTATATCTTTTTTCTTATAAAACAATTTACTGTTTTCCTAACTTATGATTTGTGGTGAGTTTTTCCACCATTGACATCCGATCATTATCTCATAGATCAGAGATTCCATTTTATCTCTAAAAGGCTAATGAGTGGACTGACCCTGGTAAACGCTTTCTGAATAAGTAAGCCATTATTCTCCTTGGATTTAAATGACAAGTCCATCTGGAAATTACCCAACAAAGATATTTTTTTAAGCTGTAATACTCCGTGAACAGAAGGACATGAGTGGCAAAAGCGTATAGAGAAAAAACACACAATTTTTATTTGAAACTACGTTTGTGTTGACATCTCTTCCTTCCAGTTAATGGCAACAACATTTAAAGGGAAAGTAACAAACATGGCAAGATGAAAGCTCTACTTTCATCTCATGATGAGAACATTGGAGGGGGAGGAACATGCCGCTGAAGTCATCGAGTGTCCACCATGGTTACAGCCGCGAGGAAGAAAAGCCTCAGACTCATTACTGTATCGAATGAATTGCTGAGGTTGACCACGACTGAGTCCACTCATCTCTGCAGTCACACCTCTGAACCACATCAAAAGACGGTTTGGTTGTGTGGTTGAGATATCTGCTTATATTTGTCTCTACAGAAGTAATGAAGTGCAATGCTCTCTAGACGTCAGGGTGCAGCAGCAGAAAGCGTAAAGGACGACCCCCGTTCATTATTCTTCATCCACACTCCGGGTTTGGAGGTTAGGCTTTGAACAATGTTCTGAGAGACGTTCACAGCTTGTCTTGGCTGGTGTGAGGTTGAAACACACTTCTGCAACCACTGTACTGCACGTCGAAATACTGCAGAGCACAGTCTGTTTAATGAATACACTCGTATAAAACAAAAACAAAAAAGGAGCAGCTGCAAACAACATCATTACAGATTCCTGCAATCTCAAAAGGACGCAGTGGATGCCAGAAAAAAAAAAAAAAGAACATTTGTTACAAGAGTTTCTGTCTGAATTCAGTGTGACGTTGCTGCGCCACATATTAGCACAGTGGCCCCATTACATTTATCTGAAGGAAACAGAAAAAAAAAAAGGACCTGACAAAGTGTTTTTCTTTGTAGGAGTCGTAATCAAAGTGAGCCCTCTGCAAAATCTTACTGTCATGTTTCAAAAACTGCTAGGATTTAACAGCAGAGGATCAGCAGAGTGCGAGTTGCCGGAGTAGAAAGAAAGAGATAGA